TTTGTCTGAATCATTGCAAGATGTCCATGAAATACTATACCAGTTAATAAAACATAATTGAGTGATAGAGCTAGGCTTACTAATGACCAATGAAATGATCGAATAGAAGGTCTCGAAATTTACTGCAGTTCTGGTCACTAAAGCTAGCCTCATTGCTGCCAACGACTTCAACTTGTAAAAGAGGGAAAATAGTTTCATTTGTTTGAGGGTTGTCCCTTATCTCTTGTGGTGATCTAAATTGGCGGAAATAGCAGGCATCAATGCGCTTAAACGTCACCACCAGTCCATAACTTATCTAAGCATAATAAAAATTCAGTAATACACATTGAAATCATGCTCTAATTGTCTTACTGAAGTTGAATCATTTAATTCTGTAAGAAATTTGACAATTGTATCATTAGTGATGGCAGGGGCTGATTTGGCAGGGGCATCATTTGAACCTTGAAATATATTTTCACAGTATGAGATGGTGACACTGACAACAGGATCCGGTGCAGCAAGGACCCAAGTGCTGGGATGTTTGTCTCTGTTGCTTATAATAGTAGAGGCCACCGTTTCGGAAACTTTGATGACAAATCTAGTCTCATGTGTCACAGTGATATCCTTTTCTGTAACTCCACTGTCTTGTAAGATATCTAGCACTTCCTCCTTCCTAATGGCCTCCACAGATGGCGAGGAGACACTTAGGTGAAGTTCCCTGACAACATTAGCCATCTTTGAGGCCATGATGTCCTAAGTCAGGCTAGATCATAGGCGGCTTTTATTTTGCTATGCTCTGCTCTAGATCTAAGTCATGTGATGCATTCCTGCACAGTCAGCCCAGCCCAGCCCCTTTTTAGTCTCCCAGGCCCCGCCTGACTAGCCAAGTGCCAACCATTCCCAGCCTACAGTCATTGGGGCAGCAGTCCAGTATCAATGGCAGCCCCTGTAGATCAAATCCCAGACATAGAAGAAAACACTACTGAGGACACTGATCAAAGAGAGCAACACAAAGCCTTTCGGACCGAAATTACAAAAATTGGAAACGAGAAAACAGTTCAAATCTTCAAAATAGCTGCAATTGAAGTTTTTGGAGTTCAAGTGGCACAGGTAGAAAAAATAACAAGCTTTTCAGAGGTTTATGAGCTAATTGAGAAGGCTATCACAAAAGATGTGGCTCCCTACATTGTTCATGAGATCCTTGAATTCATCGAAAGCATACAAGGCCTAGATCCAGATGTAACCAGGGCATTAAAGGAAAAGGCAAGGGCTGCCATCACTGATAAAGTTGATATTAAAAGCAAATATCCAAATCTTGAATTTGTTTTGACATTAGGGGTCATGGTATCATCTATGGAAGAAAATGACTATGAAAAATTTGATGGACACTTAGCCAAAAAGATTTTGAAAACTCCTCATCAACAAAAAATGGAACGATGCATGATTATACATGAATTGATACAGAGAAAACATTTGAATTTGAAACCAAATCATTCAAACGATACAAGAGAAACAATGCCAAGAGCTGGTGAGACAGTGGCTACCCGCACAGAAGGCCTTGACCCAGCCAATGAAAATATCAAAAAAATCAGCAAATGGCTTGATCAATCTAGTTGCACAACTAATTGGGATTTCATTGAGAAATACTGTGAAAGGAATGGCATAAAACCACCTAAAAAAGGTATGAATTTTATTTGTGTTTGAGCATCATGTTTAGCAGAAAAATATGTACTAAAATGATCATAGACTGAATATTTTTGTTCTAATTTAAACAATATCAGTAAATATTTATTATTCATCATATAGGAAATATTATTGGCAAAAAGAAAACGATAAGTCTAGTCACCCTAGTGGTATCGGCTGTTACAATTATTTGTCTCCTTCTTGGTGCATTTATTTTGGTGATAATTTTTTTTCACGAATCAAGTGAGAACACAATAGAAATCAATACATATCAAAATCAGACACTACTTTTAATGTCATATAATTCACAAACAATCAGTATCAATGTGTCACTCAATGTAGAGGATACAATCCCCGACCTTGTTAACTTTAATGTTTATACAAGCAATACTGTTCCCAACATAACTCTACAAGATCTTCTTCTATACAATTTACATAATTTATCTAGTGATCGCAATGATCATGGAAGCCATTACAACTACAATTACATGGATGGTGATATTCCTATTTTTCTACAAAAAGGGTCAAGCATCAACTACACTTTACATTTCACAAGTACTTGCACAGGTGTAATAGTGACAAATAATAGTGCAACTCTCTACTTATTTGACAACGTTGAAGACTACAAGCATTTCAAAAGCAAACATAGCAATGTGCCAGTTGCTATATCTCACTTTGATTCGATTGATAACTTATTTTGGAGCTTTTCTATTAAGTATGACTCTCTATACTACGTTGGACTCCAAATAGAAGATTGTTGTCTTGTTTCAGGTAATGTTACTGTCACTCAAGCATCATATGAGAGCTCAACATTGAGACAAGTCTGTAAAACTTTAGATGTTTCAAGGCCATATTGTGTGATTGATTTGCCTCATCATTTCACTGATTGTGACAATAAGGGTCATGTGTTTGTGAGCATTCCAGCAGGTGATGCCTTAACAAAGATTAGTTATAGATCTAAATTTTATTATTTTAGCTGTATTTTTGCTTTAATTGCAGTCCCTTTATTAATTGGATTGTTGCTCTTTTTTATTGTCATTGTTCCTTGTGTCTATGTGTGTAAATATTCTTGTAATTTTTGCAGGAGACCTGCTGATTATAATTCATTGAACAGTAGTGATTCTAATTAATCCTAGCTATTTTTTAATGGCTATCTGTGTGATCATAAAATCATATTTCTTATTTGCAATGCTTATTTTTTTTAATTATTCTTTTTTTTGTAAAATTTATTCTATTTTATTTTAACTATTTTGATTAAGAGCTATGTGCCAGCTGTCATGTTATTCATAACAATTGCTGAGCTAGCTGTGATAGTGCTATAGTAGTAGCTAAAAATTGAAATATGAATACAATTATAAAAGTATAGTTTATCGTTTTTATTATTGACCTTTCTTATGAGAAAAAGGGTTTCTTAACTACCAAAAAGAAGTATTCCTCATGCTAAAATCCCCATTAAGTTTTGTGTTACCAGCTGTTATCAGACTCTGTAGATCTATAAGTATGATCATGTGATGTTTACAGCTTACACAACACATGACCTTGTAGTAGTAGTAGAGATGAATTCAATTTTATCTAGCCATAGCTACAATCATATGATGAATTGCAGAAATATTTAGCATGGCTACAGCTATAAAATCTTCTAATGAAAAAGAATATTTATTGCCAGCTGCAGAAGGTGGAATACAAGGAGAAAAAAAAGATACCAAAAAGAAATGTAAGTGTTTAATTAATTTATCCATCAATGAAACAGACATACTGATAGGGAATAAGAAATGGATTTTATCAGTTTTATGCTTATTTACAGTCATTATGCTAGTCTGTATTGCTTGCTTTGTCCCTCTATTCACACTATCATATTCAACTTCTAAGACAAGTGATGAGACTTTAACAATTCAAGATACCAGCTCACCATTACTGATAACGGTCAATAGTTCGATATATGAAGTTTCAGTGACTCTATTGTCACAGAATGCTGATGATGCCATTTTTGAAGTGTTTAGTAGTGATACAAAGCCAATAAAAGTAGGTGATTATCTTCCGTTGTCACATATTTCAAAATTGGAGGGTCTAGCTAGGTATAATTATAACTACCTAGGTGGAGACCTGCCTATATACCTAATAGAACCCTCTTCAATAACGTATAGTTTTGAAGTAATAGAGAAGAACAACATGTGTGTTGCAACAGATGAGGAAGTTGCCATCTTGTATCTTTTTGACAATAATGTTGATTATAACCAGTTTAGAAATTATGGGCCATACCATGCAGTAAAATCATACCCAATAGATACGACCAATAACTATTTGGTAGCAGTTTTCAATATCACGAAAGCAGATTTATACTATGTTGGCATTGAAATAAAGGATGGATATATTGTTGAGAGTTATGTATCAGTATTACAATACACATACAACATCAGTGGGTATAACAATCCAAGTGATTGCAATGAGTATCTCAACATTAATGATCCTACTTGTGTGATAGAAACTTGCAATAAATTTTACTGCAAGAAATCTAGGAATAAATTTATTTACATTAGATCTATCTCTGAATCATATTCTACTGTGCAATTACAAGTTTTGTACAGCACAACTAATGTTAGTAGTTTTACCCAATTTTGGGCAAGTATAGCGTTCATAATTTTATTAATTTTATTTACAATTTTGTTTGTTATTTATTTGATTTTTTCGTTCCGAAGAAAAATTTGTTTTTAATTCATTCTACTTTTCATTTATTTTAAAGGGTATAATAATATTAAGTATCTATGCCACAACTATGGTCAGGCTATGCATGCCCTATATGCTTAGCAAAAATAAAATAATAACACAAAAGTAGCTCTAAAATTACTAAAATAAAGCTCAAGAAAAAATAGTTTTCAATACAATGACAGTTCCATTTCCTTAGCAACATCTTTGAATGCTTCATTATTTTTTAATACTTCAATTAAAGCTATCATTGCCTGAGGTTTCCGATCAATGGTAGCTCTAAGAGCAAACAATAGTGAAGCACATCTATCATGTACTGGTCTGCCAGCATTCATACATTCCGTGGAAGTTGCATCAGTAATTAGTTCTTTAGCATACAAACTCATGATGATGGGTGAAAGGTTATTTGGAGCTGCCAGGATAGCAGAAAGCTTATCAAAGTTTTTACGTAACACTTTTTTTGCTTTTTCTTTATCTACAACCTTGGAAGATGGTACTGATGGTGAGACCAGGTTTGCAGGTGCTTGCTGAGCCATAGTGCCACCTATAGGTATAAATTGACTCATACATGTATTACATTAATTAATTTTGTTCCTCACAATTTTCATTGATCCCATCAGCTACAGCATTCTCTCTCATCTTCCTCAAAGCTTGTATTAGTGAATCATAAGTTGGGCCACCTTTACTTTTTACATCATCATTTTGCTTCAACCATGCATTCAAACACTCTATTAGACCACCATTAACATCTCCACGATTATTCTGATTAATAATATCAAGTGTACGAGGAAGCAGACCCAGTTGGAGACCAAGATCATAATAATCAACACCAGCATAACCATGGTCCTTCAATAAATCAAGAACTTTAACAAGATCTCCAGCACCTGATAATTCATCAAAGCATAAAAAGACTCATTATGTTAGCTAACCTAATAATTGTTGTTTTACAGAAGAACTTGCCATGTTTAAACTAAGATAATAGTACTGCAAAGTTGCTTTGTCAGTGCTGTGACAGCAATAATAGCTTCATGTGACTAGATAGCTGGAGCAATGAATCTAGTTACAATAGAGAAATCTAACAGAATTGTCAGTGACATGATCAATGGTTTTTCCCTTGTATGTGATATTTACTAAACTAATAATTTAACTCAATAATCAATGACAGTACAAAACACATCAAGTAGGCAGCATATAAATGAAGTCAACTTTTAAAGAAATGATTAGTGAAGGTATTAAACCTAATATGGGAATGAAGAATTTAATAGACCCACTTCATGTACAATAATGTGCAATACTGTGAGCTATGACAAAATCATGTTGACTGATATTAGACTACCTTCAAAGAGCATCATAAGCTATTTTTAAGGATACCTCAACATATTCATTTGTGTTGTGCAGCTTTATCATTTATTATAGTTATAGATCTAGTCTGAATTCATTATTACAATCAGATATAAATTATTGGCACTGCTTTACAAATCAAAACAGGAAATTTACATGATTCTATTTTGCTAAGTCTATTTTCTAATAAAATTCTGCAGAAGAATATAGCTAGATCTAGTCCCCAATCCAAGTTTAGAAGCTATTGTTGCTTTATTGTTTTTGATAGCTTCAATGATGGTACCAATTACTATTCCTACTGGTATCATAGACTTTGGTACGATAAACTTTTTGGTACCAGCAGCAGTATAGGAATGGGTCCAAAAGATATCATTGGTGCTTCAGTTATACTCGGCTAATTTAATTACTAAAATGTTGCATAAACCACGAAGGTATAAATAGGCAATTAAATTGTAGGCTGCTGGTTTAATAACAGGATGCCTTGGTATACTATTCTCTGTAGCTGGGCTCTTACTAACTCACTTATGTTGACATTCCTTGAAGTGTAGAGTAATTAACGGATGTTCGAATAACATCATATCTCGGACACTATTGCTGGATCAGTTTATCTGCTACAGACTTTTCTTATATATTTTTACAAACTTTAATGATAATCCTATTAATACATGTTATAAACAAAGTGCAAGAAGTCTTCGTCTTCTTACAATTTTTTGCCAAAAGTCGAAATCGGAAATACTCATATTCGGCGAACGCAAACAATCCTCGTACAAAAGTAAATTCCCTGAATAGATAGCAATAGAAAGTAAAGAAAGAGGTTGAAGCTTCTCTATGAACCTTTCTCTTTTTGCAGATTTCAATAGAAAAATAGCTAGCTGCTCTCTTGCTGCAGAAACATGATAAAAGAGTGGTACAGTAGTTTACTGTCCGATACCACACCTATTTAAGATTTAATTAATTTAATAAAGATTTAATAAAGATTTTACAATAATGAAACAAATAGTAGTACAAATGAAAGTAGGAAAATGCGATGAGAGTGCAACATTATTGAAGGGTTGCCAGCAAGCCCTGCTG